TTGAGGGCAAGATGGTTGTTTTTATTTTCCTGAAAAGACAAAAACAAAGTCCTCTCACAGTCCTAATTTTGGGGAGTTTCTTTTTTGGCAAATTTTATCTGATCAAATTAAAATATTTGTTAGTCATATAAATTAGTTTAGATTGAGTGGTCATGCTGTTTGATGACCTCTTCTAATTAAGAGGTCTCTCTTGTTCAAATCCAATCTTTATCAGTTTTGATTCATGGTTTCTCCTGAATTTTTTGTTTTCTCTTTTATAGTTTTTCTATCATCCAGAGCAGTATGGTTTCTTATAATAGACATTAGGTTCTTTAATTGCTCTGGGAAGGAGTTTCTTCCCTGAACCAGATTTGACATGGGGGCCTGTGAGAGGCCCCTCAAGGCATTTCCTGATGGCAAAGGGTTACCGTGACTGCCCCTTGTTGACCTGTAGCCACTAGTCCAATGCCTACCCTTGCCACACCATCTGCAGAATCCACAGTTGAAATACTTGACATTTCAGTTTTTCTTCAAACCTCTGGAAATCACCTCTCCTATCCAAGCATCATCATGGTCATGAGGTTCAATATTGATTGTGTCTCTGATCCATTCTGCCAACGGTGCTGATTAATGTGAAATAGCAATACAGAGTCAGGTCTAGATATAAGGATATTTATTTAGGAGGATCCTATTCACCAGAACAGCCTAGCCAGCGGCAGGGAGCAAGATAAGTAGGAGAAGGGGGCCCCTTGCCTTTAAAGGCCTAATTATCTTTTTGCATTGAGGATTAGCTTTTTCAAAATCCAGAGATTCAATTATTATTTGTCTAGCTTCTGAATTTGGTATCATTCTATTTACTGCTGATGTCAGTCTTTGTAAGAAATCAGTAAAAGTTTATTTCAGGCCCTGTATGACTTTAGCAAATGACTTAATCTTCTTTCCTATTTTTTTAATTCTGTCCAAACCATCCAATATTGTTGCATGACATAAAGCCAGGATGTGGCCATCATATGGGCATTGACTTTCTTTCTTTTTTTTTTTTTAAGATTTTTATTTATTATGTATACAATGTTCTACCTACACGCCAGAAGAGGGCACCAGATCTCATTGTAGATGGTTGTGAGCCACCATGTGGTTGCTGGGAATTGAACTCAGGACCTTTGGAAGAGCAGCCAGTGCTCTTAACCTCTGAGCCATCTCTCCAGCCCCCGGGCATTGACTTTCTATAGTAGCATAATCTCCTTCCAAGAAGTTGGTCTTGGGAGATTTCCATGCCTCTAGCTCTACTCTGTTGTTCAATGGTCTTAACCTCATCTTTCCACCAGGTCCTTCATTGTAATTGTGGACCTGGCTCCACGACTGCTGTAACCAAGTCTTTCCAGTCTTGAGGGATAATTTTATTACAAGTTGGCCACAAGTTTAACATCTGCTTCACAACTGTTGAATGCATGCCACACGAGACTATCGCTTCCTTGAATCAAATCTAACATTGGCACAGGAGTCCAGTCAGCTCTTACAGAGACTCTGTCATTTGGCAATTCCTGTGAGGTGACTGGATATATTAAGGTTGGTTGTTTGAAAGCCGTAGGCTGTTCCTCTCTAAACTCATAATGCAATGCTGAAATTGGTTCTCCTTTAAATCCTGTCTGGGTTTGAATATCTCTATGGTCTGTTTTAATAGGTTTTTCTAAAGCCTGTATCTTGGCACTCATCAAAACTTTTTTAGAGATAAACCAAGAATTAAAGACTGGTGGCTCACGCCTTTAATCCCAGCACTCGGAGGCAGAGGCAGGAGATCTCTGTGAGTTTGAGACCAACCTGGTCTACAGAGGGAGTTCCAGGATAGGCTCCAAAGCCACAGAGAAACCCTGTCTCGGAAAAACAAAACAAAACAAAAAAAGATCCAGGACAGCAGGCACAAAGCTACACAGAGAAACCCTGTCTCAAAAAAACCAAAAACAAAAAAGGGAATTCCCAATTTTCTCACCAAAGCCTGATGATGACAATGAAGACATGAGGCTGACTGCTGCTTCGTACAACAGTAGAAGCCTGACCTAGTTTGGCAGCAGCCCAAGAAGGGGGTCCAGGGAAAGTCCATCAGGAGAAAAGAAAGGAAAACCTAGCCAGTAGGGCAGTGACTCCAGCCATGTGTAACTCTGGCCTCTAGGCAAATGGCTTTTTTGTGTGTGTGTGAATTTGTACCCCAAAAGTTGCCAGAGGTAGCATGAATTCTAATTGGTCTTAATATAAAAATTCAGAGTCAGCTATCAGGGGTGAAAGCTGAAGGATCAGAGAAACAGAACAGCCAGCCACTAGAGTTCTTATCTCTACTAATACTCAGACTAAAGGGGCAATCCTGTCCTCAGACTGCCTTCTCAGACTGACTGCTGAGACTGCTTCTGTCTCTATGTCTCTACGAATCCTCAGACTGCCCTGAGCTCCAGTCACCTCCTGCCTCTCTGCTCAGTGATATCATTTCTGTCTCCACCTCCCTAGTGCTGGGATTAAAGGCTTGGGACCCCAAGTGCAGGGATCACCTTTGCATGAGCTCTGTTTCTCTTTTAAACTGGATCAATTTTGTGTAGCCCAAGGTGGCCTTGAACTCACAGAGATCCATCTATCTCTATCACTCAAATGCTGGGATTAAAGGTGTGTGGCATCACTGCTAGGGCCTCTATGGCTAACTAGTGTGTCAAGCTCTGCACTCTGATTTTCGGGCAAGCTTTATTTGTTAGATCATAGACAAAATATCACCACACTAGTGTGTGAAAATTTCCACCACTCCCCACCCCCAGATATTTCAAGCTCACTCTAGGCCTTGGAATATCTCTGGCATAATTGCTAAGGGCTAAGTTTTTGTTTTGTTTTGTTTTTTGTTTTTGTTGTTGTTGTTCTGGTAGGAAGTCTTTGATAGAGCCAGGGAGCTTCTTCAGGCTCTGAGTGACTGAAGCCTGTCATCTCAGCAGTGGTGAGGCTGAGGCAGGAAGATGGCAAATTAAAGGCTAGCCTGGATTAGAGCCAGATTCCATGTCAAAATAAATAAACGCAATAAACTGGGCTGGAGCAATAACTCAGCAGTTAGGAGTACTGGCTGCTCTGGCAAAGGATCCAGGGTCCCTCACAACCATCTGTGACTCCAGCTCCAAGGGACACAACACCCTCTTCAGGCCTCAGCAAGCACTGCACTGTCATCATGCACAGACACACATGTAGGCAAGCACTCATACATATAAACAAACCTTTCAAAAATAAATAAAGATGCCGGGGCATTGGTGGCGCACACCTTTAATCCCAGCACTCGGGAGGCAGAGGCAGGTGGATCTCTGTGAGTTCGAGACCAGCCTGGTCTACAAGAGCTAGTTCCAGGACAGCCTCCAAAGCCACAGAGAAACCCTGTCTCGAACCCCCCCAAAAAAAAAATAAAAATAAAAAAGTAAATAATGATAATGAGTTGAACCATTATACCTTGAGAGCTATGTAAAGCCATCCCTCTGCCTTTTGACAGCCAAAGAAACAGGCCGGCTGGAGGCTGGTGGCAGACACTTGCTCAGGGCTACATAGGCCTGAGTGGCAGAACCAAAAGGGGACTTAGGACTTTATATAGGAGGAGCTTATGAGGCAAAGCCTGTTGTCTGTTTGTCACAGTGTCATGCACTGAAATCTCAGCTCTGGCTCTAGGATGGTCCCAAAGGGCACAAGAAACACCCTGGAAGAAGACTACCCCTGGCAGCTATTTTTAGAAGCACATTCAAGTGTCTTTTTTCTGCAAGGCAGGAGGGAGTGCTTCAGCAGCCTTGGCCCTGTGCATTCGCCAGCTGCTCCTGGGATTACTTCTCAGGGGAAGCAGTGCCTTAAATAGATTCAGGAGAGGGTGTTCTTTCCCCTTCCCTCCCCTCCCCCCTCCTCCTCCCTCCTCCCTTCTCCTCTCCCTCCTCTCTTCCCTCCTCTCTTTGTGTCCCAAGTACTGCAGTTGTAATTACCTACCAGGGCACTTGACAAGCTGGCCGTTCTTTTGTGTGCTTTTTAGAGTACTTGTATGTGTGTGCATGCACACATGGCCCAGAGAACAAGGTGCAGGAATCGGCTCATTCCTCCCACTATATGTGTCCCAGAAGGTGGCAGGCGTGAGGCCTGTTGCTGTTGAGCCACCTCACCGGATTCTGGGTCTCATGGGCTCTAAGGATCTGAATTCCAGCACCCACACTTGCACAGCATCTCCACACTCTGGTCGCTCTTTGAGGAGCATCAAGCTGCTGAGTGACAGCTTTGTCCTAAAGTTGTTCAGAATTGGCCAGAAAGGGAGGAACTCCTCAGGATAAGCAATCATCTGGGGTGTGGCTTTATGAGATGGGGACAATGCTAACATAAAGATAGAGCCTAACCATTAACATCGACTATGGAGATCTGCAAATATTATCTTTATTTATTTATTTGTTTGTTTATTTGAGGCAGGGTTTCTCTTTGTAGCCCTGGAACTCACTGTGCAGGCTGGCCTTGAAGTTACAGATCTGCCTAAGTTGGGCTTCTCTCTCTCTCTCTCTCTCTCTCTCTCTCTGTGTGTGTGTGTGTGTGTGTGTGTGTGTGTGAGTGTGAGTGTGAGTGTGAGTGTCCACAGTGAGTCAGGTCTCCCTCCACTATGCAGGTCCTGGGATAGAAGATAGCTCATCAAGCCTGGTGGCAAGTGCCTGTACTGGCTCAGTTGCCCCTGAGGAGACAGCTAGTGGCCCCTGATGAAATTTAATGAGTTTTTTTCCTATAAATGCTTCACCCCATCTGCGGCCTACGATGGCGTCCTCAGTGGGCACAGGCGCATCACAACTGCCTCTTTCCGACCTTGACGGTAGAGCTCAGGCTCAGCATGCAGCTGGCTTCCATCCCAGAGCCCGCCTGAGGGGCACATGGGAAGCCCTCGGTTTAATCTTCAGCACCCAGGGGTTAAAAGGGCAGCTTGCTGCAGGTGTGGCATGCACCTCTGGTTGCCTCTTCCAGTGACCACCAGAATTCATGTGCCTCGCTCGCAGGAGCTGTGGAGCTGTCCCGGCGCCACCCGGTGGCGTCCTGGCTGTGCGCCATGTTGCACTGTTTCGGGAGCTACATCCTGGCCGACTTGCTCCTCGGGGAGCCCATCATTGACTACTTCAGCAACAGCTCCAGTATCCTGCTGGCCTCTGCAGTGTGGTAGGCATCTGGAAGCCCCAGAGAGGCTGAGCCTGGGGCCAGGGGGGACCCCAACACCGGGGAGGAGGGAGGTTGAAGGAGCAAGGACCCCAGTCGCAATCTGCAGGGCACCAGCGTCCTCACTGCCCTCCCCTGGATCTCCTGCTCAGCTGCTCGTCCCCCTGACCCTAGGCCTCCTGTCCTCAAAGGTACTTGATTTTCTTCTGTCCCTTGGACCTCTTCTACAAGTGCGTCTGCTTCTTGCCTGTGAAGCTCATCTTTGTGGCTATGAAGGAGGTGGTGAGGGTGCGGAAGATTGCCGTGGGCATCCATCACGCACACCACCACTACCACCACGGGTGGTTCATCATGATCGCCACCGGGTGGGTCAAAGGTAAACGGAATTATGACAAGGAGGATAAAAGAAAAATCACCACAGGGGTCCAGTGAGGTGGATCAGTGGTGAAGGAGCTTGCTGCAAAAGCCTGGTGACAGTGACCGAGTTTGATCCCTGTGACCTACACAGGAGAGAACTGATTCCCACAAGTTGTTCACTGCCCACCACATGAGGACCATGGCCCATGTGCCTACACACACCACACACAAAAACAATGAAGTTAATAGTAATAGTGCCAGCACGATGGCTTAGTGGGGAAGAGCGCTTTGAGGCCAAACCTGATGTCCCGAGTTTGATCCCTGGAGCCCACATAGTGGAAGGATAGAACCAACTCTTGAAAGTTGTCCTTTGATCTCTACACATGTGTCATGGTGAGGCATGCACAAGGACACACTCCCTACTACTACAAAAAGTATAAATGAAATGGAACAATGTTTTTTTCCATACAGAGTCTCTCTATGTAGCCCTGGCTAGCGTAGAGTTCATTATGTAGACCAGGCTGGCCTGGAACTCTCAGAGATACCCCTGCCTCTGCCTCCCAAGATCTAGAATTAAAGGTGTGCACCACCACACCTAGATAAATGTAATTTAAAAAATCTGCAGGGCCTGACAGGATGGCTCAGTAGGTGACGTTGATTACCACCAAACGAGTTGGATTTAATTCTTGGATCCTATAGGGTGGAAGGAGAGAGCTCACTCCACCTTTGTCTTCTGACCTCTGCATTAATGCTGTGGCATGCTAACACCCCAGTACACAAAATAAACAATAAAATTATGAAAAAGAATTATTAAATTTTTTAATTAATAAAATGATAGCAGTTAGCTGGGTGTGGAGGTGGGCTCCTATCATCCCAGCATTCTTCACTCTGAGCCAGGGAAGCATTAGAAATCCCGGGGCAGCCTGGGCAACACAGTAAGACTCAAGACAGTCCCTTGTAGGTGGGGACACATCCAATTGCTTCTTGTTGGTTTGCCCTGACTGCTGTGCGAACCTGGGGAAGGCTTTGTTGAGAGCCTCATTTCCCCACCTGTAATGGATGGTCTTCTCCAGGCACAGAGACTCCTCATGAAGAGAAGGCCCTTTGTTTCCTTGGGAACTGAAGCTAGAGAAGGAAACCGGGTGTGGGGGTGGCCAGCCAGCTCAGCGGTGCCCTGCCCCACAGGCTCTGGTGTCACCCTCCTGTCCAACCTGGAGCAGCTACTTCGAGGAGTCTGGAAGCCAGAGACCAATGAGATCTTGCACATGTCTTTGTGAGTACCCCATCTCTGGCCTCTGGCCCTCCTTGTCTGGCCCTGCGTTATTAATCATCTGGAGATACTGCTGGGGTAAGGACAGGAGGAACTTCTGCAAAAGGTGATATTTGACTGGGGTTTTAAAGAGTGAGTAGGAGTTTTCTGACTACAATAGACTCCCCACCCAGAGCCTAGAATCACTACCGATGTCAGGTTAGAAAAGTGCAGAGCGGGGGGGGGGGGGGGGCGGGCAGGGTGGGTGT